TGTCTGTCTATCTGTAATAGGGTCTCATGTAGCCCAGGCTGACCTCAGGCTTGCTATGTAGCCAAGGATGACCTTGAACTCCCAATTCACCCAGCTCTGCCTTCCAAGTGTTGGGACGGCACACTTGATCTGTACAATGCTAGGGACTGAATCCAGGGCTTTGTACATACTGGATGAGCACTTTGTCAACCGAGCTGTATCCTCAGGCCCAGGACATGCCTTTTCTGACTCTAAAATCTGGCTACCTTGATGGTAGCTAGAGTAGAAGACACCTCCAGGGTTGCCATTGGCATTAATCTGCCTGACTTTGTGCTCAGCATCAGGTTTTGGGGCTCTTTAAATGGAGACAGGCTTGTGTCCTTCAAGCTATGGACTCATGAGGGCCAGGCTGGAAGTCCCCATACAGATGCCCTGTCCTAATTGGGGTTTCTATTCTTGTAGTGAAAACCATCATCAAAAGTAAGATGTGGGAGAAGGAGTTAATTTGGCTTACACTGTCACATCCCAGTCTGTCATTGAAAGAAGTCAGGACAGGAACAGGAGGCAGGAGGCAGAAGCTGATGCAGAGGCCATGGAGGGGTGCTGCTTACTGGCTTGCTCAGCTTGCTTTCTTACAGAACCCAGAACCACCAGCACAGGGGTGATCCTACCCACAGTGGGCTGGGCCCTCCCACATCAATTACTAATTAAGAAAATACCTTACAGCCAGATCTTCTGGAAGAATCTTCTCAGTTGAAGTTTCTTCCTTTCAGATAACTCTAGCTTATATCAAGTTGATATAAAACTAACCAGCAAAAGCCCAGCATGGTGGTGCACACCTTTGATCCCAGCACTTAGGAGACAGAAGCAAGGAGATATCTGAGTTTGAGGCCAGCCCAGTCTACAAAGTACAAAGGGAGCTCCAAGACAACCAAGGCTATACAGAAAAACCCTCTCTTGAAAAACAGAACAAAAGACCTAACCAGTACCAACCCATTGTCTCTTTGGTGCCTGCCTACTCGACACTGAGCTATGAATTCTTATCATGGGTCTTCTGTGGAGGCTTCTACCAGTTACTTCTCTGTTGCTGTGATAAAAACACCATGATCAAAAGCAGATTTCAGAAGAAAGCTTATTTTGATGCCAGAGGCAGCCAGAGTAAGCTGAGAGATTACTTCTCAACTGTACAGGGCAAGCAGAGAGCGAACTGGAAGTGGAGAGATGCTGTAAACTGTCAAAGCCCACTCTCAGTTATGTGTTTCCTTCAGCAAGGCTGCACCTCCAAAGGTTCCATAAACAGCACCACCAACTGGGCACTAAGTGTTCAAATACATGAGCCTGTGGGGAACATTTCTCATTCAAATCAGAGCAGCGGTTCTTGTTAATCTGTGGGTCAGAATACCTTTGAGGGTCATTCTGACCCTTTCACAGGGTTAGAAAGCACAGATATTTGTATTTCAATTCGTAACAGTACCAAAATTATAGTTATGAAGTAGTAAGGAGAATAATTTTATGGTTGGGGCATCACCACAGCATCAGGGACTATATTAAAGGGTCACAGCATTAGGAAGCTTGAGAGCCACTTCACCAGCATCACAGACGGCCAGAGACAAGCCTGTGGTCTCTGAGCTGAGGTTGAGTCCCTTAGGTCCCTTTACTATCGGGGCATGAGGGGATTCTGGCTGTGATTTGGGGGTTACCAGGCAGTGTATTGACTCGTGATTCTGGTGTCTTGCGGAGTAGCCACAGTATACTTTTTAATTCATCTTTCTCTGTTCATTTCATTGCTACTGGTTCACAATGAACTTATGATCTTTTTAAGAGAGGGAAAAAAAAATAGTTGTTTGAGTCAGGGCCTCATGTAGCCTAAGCAACCCTCAGACTCACTATGTGGCTGATTATAAACTTGAACTCAGGATTCATCTGTTTCTACCTCCCAAGTACAGGGATTATAGGCATTTGGCACCATGCCCAGCAAGAAAATTTCGTAAATATCCTGGAGGGCTGCCCTCTGCCCCTCCTCAGCCCTTCGCTTTCTTTGGCTCTGGTGGCTTATTTGGCAGCAGGAGCCCTGCATGACTGCACTCAGCTTCTTCTGATGTACTTTGAACTTGGGCTTATGTGCATTCTGGGCCAGCTTGATGCTGTTCTTTGTCCTACTTGCTCACCTAAGGGCCCCTGCTCTTCCCTGTGGGGTCTCAGCTGCTCTACACCTCATCTGTCTTGACTGCAGGAATCAAGAGGTACTTGTACCCTATATTGTTTAGATATCCTGAGGCCAGGCCTATGACTCTGCCCTGGGCTCATTTGAGAGCTCAGTAAATATTGGCCATCATTGTTATAACTGTGTCTGTCCTTGTGTAGGAGAGAAAACAGAGGCATAGAAATGGCCACCTGTATAGCTCCATGTCATGTGTGATGTAATAGATCTAATGCTTTCAAAGAAAGTATCCATTTTCCTGTGTCATCGTCACATCATGTTGGAAACTGGCTCTGCCTTCAGCTTTCTGCCTGACGAGTCCTGTTTACCATGGCAGCCTGAGGGCTTGAGTCTTATCCTCCATTGTTTCTGTTTGACTGGCTTCAGGTTTTGCTGTGTTTCCCAGGCTGTTTTGGATTTTCTGAGCTTAAAGAATCCTCCTGCCTCAGCCTCCTGAGTTGCTGGAGCTACAGATGTGTACCTGGCTGTTTTTCTTTATTAGATAGATAGCGTCTTCGGGCTAATCCTAGGAGTGGATTGTTTAAGTCAAGTAGTTTGATTCTTTGTCCCAGAGTTCCTTATAAGTTTGGCCAGTTCTTATGAGAAATGTCCTTTCCAAGGGAGGCCAGAGTTACAAAACAAAACATGAAAAAAGAAATGAGCAGAGGAGTGGGAATGCATTATATAATAGCTCAGGCAGCAGAGGGCTTGACTTACATACTTGAAGCCCTGGGTTCAATTCTCAATACTGTGGAAACTGTGCTTGCTGTCACATGCCTGTAATCCTAGCATTTAGCTGTTAGTTCATTCATATATTCACAAAACTATTAGACCGTTGCTTAATTTCTGCTACCTGTAGTTTTCCTCATAGGGAGTGGTGGAGGGAGCATTGGTCTGGGAACATGTCCAGGAGGTAATGCTGGAGAGCTGGAGAGTCCACCTGCAGGAGGAGGGGGAGACAGCACCTCAGGAGAGGGGCGTATGTGAGAAGAGGTGGGTAGCCAGGCAATCTGAAGAGAGCAGAGGCCTGGAGTCTAGAAGCTAGAGATGGGAACGGGGCCAACAGGTAGGCAGGACCAGCTCATCAGCCTTGAGAATTGGTTTGTGAGGGAGCTAAAGGGAATTGGGGGCGTAGAAGGTAGGTGGCCTAGCCTCCAAAGGGAACATATCCAGGAGAGGAGGTGACATCTTTTCCCACCTGGGATATCCCATGGTTAGGCAGCTGGGCTCCTACAATTCTCACAGATACTGAAACATCCCCAGCAAGTTACTTTTCTCTGGAAACTGGCATGAGAGAGCTGAGATTCAGGAAGATCCTGTGACAGGGATTGGGGGGTGGCACTTTTAACAAGAGATGGTCCCTTGGGCATTGGTCTAGCCTGAGTCCATTAAGGCCTTGGGTGAGCCTAGAAAGATCCATCACTCTCTTCCTCCAACTCATGCCTCTTCTTCCCACAGAGACCTCAGCGACATCAGAGAGCAGTCTGGTGTGACCAGCAGTGTGGACAAAGACCCTTGGACTTTCAGGATGGGAACTCCAGGCCCTGGTGGCTCCTCCAGCTCTCCGTGTACCTATGTGATGGTCCACGCAATGAACTCTGCAGGGCTGGCCCCTGGAAATCCCATGAGGCCCAAAGTGTACCTTCCAGGGTGATCTCACTAGGCAGAAGCCTGCAACTCAACATTTACCCAGCTGGATATGGGTCAGGGCAGTCACCTCCAGATATAGGGGGCTGTTAAATTAAAGGCTGTGGCCCCAGTGGGGAACCGTTTCTCCTAGAGGAGACCTCTGTGGCTGTTACAGGATCTGCTCATTGAACTGCTACTGAGGTGAGGTCCTAAAGCAGTCACCACAACCAGGGTTCTTTTTAGAGAGACTGAGACATTTTAAGCAGATATAGTTTTGCATAATAGAATATGAAAATATTAATAAAGTACTTTCAGCAATAGAGGTAGCAGCTACCTTATCATCTTCTGGGGCATGGACATACAGCCTGGAAGAGGGACTCCCCCCCACCCAGGACTTCATCTGTAAATTTCGAGTGAGGAAAACAGATGTGTTTTCTTTGCATAAAAACATAGAGTGGGGTTGGAAGTGCACCTCAGTTGTATCATGCAGAACAAGGTTTCAATCCCCAGCACCGTACAAACCGGGCAGGGTGGCTTGCACCTGTAATCCCAGCGCATGGGAGGCAGGAGGAGGAAAATAGGAATTTCAGGATCATCCTCAACCATGTAGTAAGCTCAAGCCTACCCTGGGCTATGGGAAACCCTGTCTAAATAAATAAATTATAAACTTACTTTAAGGTAAAAAAAAAAACCACTGTCCCAGTTGGTTAGCCTAACAAATCCTCGAATCTGGTTGTCATAAAACTGATCATGTATTGATCACCCCATGGAGCTCTGAGCTTGTTGGGGACATGGGAGTGACTGAGCTCTGGTTACTCACAGGTCTGTGTTTGCTGCTGGCAATCAATGGGGACCTCCTGAGGCCTTAGTGGGAAGAATCTCCCTTCCACGGAGATTCCCCACATCCACCCCAGTTTCCACATAGCCTGGAGGCTGATTTCCAAGGTGAGATGTGACGTGAGCTCCAGATAGGGGCTGTTGCTTTACAGTCTTTTGCCTTGAAAGTCTCTTTCTTCCCGTATTCTACTCATCAGGAAACCCCAAAGTGAGCGCCACCGGTGTGGGAAAGCAGAAGAAATGGCAGACATGTTTTAAAGCTTTCACATCTGCTGGGTTTACAATCATAGTCCTAGGCACTCAGGAGGGTGAGGCAGAAAGATCACTTCTGAGCTGGGAGTTGGAGGCTAGCCTGGACTACATAGAAAGACACCCTCCCCCCAATATCTCAAACAAAAGAACCTAAACCCCACCACAGCTCAGTGGTAGAGCCCTTACCTAACATCATGTTGTTGGGAGTTCAGTCTCCAAGTCAAAACCATCACAGTCACCTGGAAGCCAGCAACTTGTCAAATTAGTTTTATAAAAGCTAGCCCTGCCAGGCATGATGACACATTTCATTAATCCCAGCACTCAGGAGGCAGACCAACCTGCTCTACATAGTTCTGGGATAGCCAGGGCTATGTAGAAAAAAACTGAGGTCTCAAAATAGCCATGCCATGACCAGGGTTCTTTTAAAGAGACTCTGAGACATTTTAAGCAGATATAGTTTTTCATAATAGAATATGAAGTACTTTCAGCAATACAGGTAGCTATGATATCTTCTGGGGCTGTAATCCCAGCAACTCACCACAAGACAGAGGCAAGGAGGAACATGGCAAGTTCAAGCCTAGCCTGATCTACGTAGTAAGACTGTCTTTAAAAATAAATAAATGAAAACTAAAAACAGACCCCAACTTACTGGCTTCAGGCCTCACTCTGAGGGGAGTGATTTGTACAGCACACTGTATAGGCATGCACACAATGCATTCCTAGATGAAAGTGTCTCATAATTTACATCATTTAAGATGAATTTTGAGTTCAGTGTAGCTCAGGCTCCCGGGTTCTCTCTCACTTCAGAGCCCCAAGTTTGTCTTGGCCAAGAGTATATCTCATACAGTGCCGTGAGATATTTCAGTGTGTAAATGCATTTGCCACAGAGCCTGATAATTCAATCCCCAGGAGCCACATGGTGGAAAGAAAATTAATTCCTGTAGGTCATCTTCTGACCCTTACATGAATACCATAGCACACATGTAAAGAGAAGGAGGGCTAGAGAGATGGGTCAGCGGTCAGCAATTAAGAGTGAATACTACACTCAGAGAGGATCCCTGTTGAGTGTCTCATAACCCACTGTAGCTCCAGTTTCATGGAACCCAAAGTCCTTTTCTGATTACTGTGGGCACTCGTACGCAACATGCACACACACATAATTTTAAATTATACACACTTGGAGTCTCCCACAATTTGGGATATGGCCTGCCTCTCTGGCCATTGAGAAAAGTTAACTTTGTCCTCTCCTTTTGGAGGCATGAAAGACATGTTGCACCAGGAGTAAGAGTCCGAGGAAGTAGGTAAGAGGAAGCTGGTGCGGCTGTCCTTAGATCTAGATGTCCCTTGCCTGCTAATGCCATGGTTATAATTTTTTATATAAACAACCATATGCCTGATAGAAGTCACACTGTTCCTCTAATGAATGCATATGTATGTATGTATGTATGTGTGTAGGTGTGTATATATATGTATATACACCTACATATACACATGTGTATATACATCCACACCAGCTAAAAAGACACTGGGTATTTTACATTCTCAGGGATAACATTTGTGGACACTTTTGTCCTGATGGCCTTGTGTTCTGCAGATTTCCAGGATCAGAGGTCAAGGGCAGTGGCATGTAGGCTGGAAGGCTCAGAACAGTATTCTGTGGGTCCTATGGCCTCAGCTCCAGATCAGGTCTGCTTTGCCACAGTGGATCTGGATATAGGTCAGAAACAGCTCAACTTTTCCCAGAACTTCAGTCCACTAGCCAGGGCTTAGATGGACAGCAAAGGGCTCTGGGTGCTAAGCAACCACTGGTTCCTGACCCCTGGTGGTAATCAAGATGGCAGAGGCTGGACACCCCACAATTAGGTGTATAAAATATTTTTTTAATATTTAGTTAATTGTATGTGTATGCATGTTTTGTGTGTATGTATATAAGTGTATTGTATGTGTGTCTGGTGCTCACAGAAATCAGATGGGGGCACTGGATCCCCTGGAGTGGAAGTTACAGACAGTTATGAACCATGTGGCTGCCAGGAACTGAACCCAGGTTCTCTGCAAGAGGAGCAGGTACTTTAACTTCTGAGCTGTCCCTCTGGCCCTAGAGTCTTTTAACTTTCAGTTTGAGACAGTTTCATTAAGTGGTTGGCTAGTCTTGTATTCAGATCCTCCTGCCTCAGTTTCCCTACTAGCTGAGATGATCATCCCAAGTCACCAGGGACCCTATACTATAGTTTGATCTTTAGTTTGTGAGATGGGGTCTTAACTGCCTTGCCCAGGCTGACCTCCAGTTTCTGGGCTCAAGAGATCACCCTGCTTCAGTCTACAAAGTAGCAGGGACCACCTTCACTAGTGCACCACACCAACTCAGCTAGCCCAGCTCCGACACCCACACTCCTCTTTTTGAGGCCTTGTTTTCCTGAAGCCCAGATATCCCTAAATTGAGGATTACTCTGAACTACCAATCTTCCTGTCTCTACAGTCCAAGTGCTATAATTACAGGCACACGCTATCACATCCAGCTTATGTATTGCTAGGGATCAAAACCAAGGTCTCTCTAGGCAGGCCCTCCATAGTGAACCACAGCCTCACCTCTCTGATTCCCTTCTAAGGCTGAAAAGTATTCCACCATTTGGATGAGCCACATTCGGTTGCTGCTTTCATCCAGGGGCAGACCTGTAAATGGTTTCAACCTCTGTTACTGTATGTGGTGCTGCTACACGCACAAGCGTGGCCATGTTTCTTTGAGACTCTCACATTTTGAGTTCACAACTGCTTGGCCTGTGAATCCTTATATGATCTTTGAGTGGCTTCCTTATAGGACTCCTATTGCTGGTCCCCTCACTCCACTCCAGCTACACTGGATGCCCACAGATACAGAAAGGCCATTCTTGGATCCTGTGTGTACTGTAGAACACTTCCCCAGTTATCCCACAGCACCCTCGCTTCAGCCAGCTCTGTGCTGACGGAGCCCAGTGGGGGACCACTTGTGAGCCTGCACGAGGCCCTTTGTTTGATCCTCAGCACCATGTATGCGTGCACAGACACGAATCATTAATCTCTGTTGGCTTGTGGGTGTATAAACTGAGGATAGGACCATTCTATGGTACAGTTAAAGGGAAGAAGGGTTTTATTGTTGACTTGAGAGAGAACAGACAGAGGCATCTGGAAGAGTCTAGAGCAGAAGAGAAATAAGTGGTCTGAACATGGCCAGCAGACTGGACCTGGTCACGGCTATCCGTGAGAGAGAATACCAGGGAGAGAGAATAAAGAAAACATAGTGAGCCGGGCGGTGGTGGCTCACGCCTTTAATCCCAGCACTTGGGAGCCAGAGGCAGGCGGATTTCTGAGTTCAAGGCCAGCCTGGTCTACAGAGTGAGTTCCAGGACAGCCCGGACTATAAAGAGAAACCCTGTCTCGAAAAACAAAAACAAAAACAAAAAAAGAAAGAAAACATAGTGAGAGTAGCAGGAGCCGAGAAGAGAGACAGATTGGGGGTGGGGGCAATCTGTGAGCCAAAGGGAGTTAAGTAGGGTAGGTCATGGGAAGGATGATAGATAGCTAGGTAGCTAGGATGCTAGCATGGACTTTGAAATATGTAAAAGGTACTTGTGATACTCAGGGAGCCTGGAAGCCAGTAGGAGTTTTGATGTGCTAATAGGCACCACAGATAGCTCTATGTGTCTTCTGCCAGAGGTAAGAGAAATGACTTCTTTTGGTAAATAGAAACCATCTTCACAAGTCCCTCTATTAGACTTTTTCCTACACAGTCCAGGTTGAGCCCACTGGACTGCCTTTTGGAGTCCAGGAGTTTGGGGAATTGGAGTTTCTGTGTATGACATATAGATATATAGGTATATGACAGAGATGTATAGGTATATGACAGAGATGTATAGGTATATTTCAGCACCATGGGAAGCACTTTCTAGTCTATATTTAGAAAACAACCAAAGGAAGTTTGAGCCTGTGATTATGATAATGGCAGCTAGGGCCTTATTAACATTAGATTAATAGCTTACCAGAACTACATTAATATATTAAACTCTGAACTTTTGAAGTCTTAATACCGTGAATCATCTTTAGGTCTTTTTTTTTTTCTTCACAGACATTACTCACTTTCTTGGAGCTTTACAACTTGCATTTACAGACCTTAAATCACTTCCTTAGACCCTCAGAGCTTGCATTTACATACCTGTTTCACTTCCTTAGACTCCCATAACTTACATAGACTTTAAAC